ACGACAACAATGATGATGACAATGATGATGATGATGACAATAAGGATGATGACGACGATGATGATGATTATGACAATGATAATGATGACGACAACGATGATGATGACAATGATGATGATGACAATAAGGATGATGACGACGATGATGATGATTATGACAATGATAATGATGACGACAACGATGATGATGATGACGACAATGATGATGATGACAATGATGATGACGAAGATGACGACGACAACGATGATGATGACGATAATCATGATGATGCTTTCTCACTGTTCCTCAGCCATGTATGAGCACAAGATCTTTGTTCAAGGCATCATCTGGGACATCAACAGCTTCGATCAGTGGGGGTGAGTTCGTACGTCTGTCTGTGTACTCATTTAGAGGCTGAGTTGACCTAGGGGAGGCCCAGGACCGGTTCAGATAATCGTCACTGGTGTTGGCCTTGAGCAGGAATCGAGCACACAGACACGTACCCAGAATACCGGTTCAGATAATCGTCACCGGTCCGAATCCCGGATCGCCGGGTTCGTAGCGCAGCGCTAACCGCTACACCACCCCCCCCCTCCCCACAGGGTGGAGCTGGGGAAGCAGCTGGCCAAGGTGATCGAGCCGGAGCTCACGACGGCCCAGCCGGCCACGGGTCACGACTCTTCCACCAACGGCCTCATCAACTTCATCAAGGCCCATCGCAAATGAGCGGCTCCCAGCGGCTCTGCGGGAGTTGTGGGGGGGGTGGGGGGGGGTTGTGGGGGTGTTCGGAGATGTCGGGGGCCCTCGGCAGCTCCATAGGACCCCTGTGCAATGATCTCAGAATTGCTGCTTCATCTGGGAGCTCCTCACATCAAATCTAACGCCTCTAGTGTGTGTCGTTTATTTTTTTCGACTGGCGCACATCTGAGCCGTGCCGAGCCAGCCCTCGGCACGGTCCAGGTTGCTCTTTTTCACTGCGGGAACCGAGCCGCGGAGAGTCACGCGCGCGACGACGCCAGCACCGTACCGTGCTGGCCTCGAGCTGGCTTGGCTCAGATGTGCCAGTGGAAAACCACTCGTTCCGTGCTTGCCTCGAGCTGGCTTGGCTCAGATGTGCCAGTGGAAAACCACCCGTACCGTGCTGGCCTCGAGCTGGCTTGGCTCAGATGTGCCAGTGGAAAACCACCCGTACCGTGCTTGCCTCGAGCTGGCTTGGCTCAGATGTGCCAGTGGAAAACCACTCGTTCCGTGCTTGCCTCGAGCTGGCTTGGCTCAGATGTGCCAGTGGAAAACCACCCGTACCGTGCTTGCCTCAAGTTGGCTTGGCTCAGATGTGCCAGTGGAAAACCACCCGTACCGTGCTTGCCTCGAGCTGGCTTGGCTCAGATGTGCCAGTGGAAAACCACCCGTACCGTGCTTGCCTCGAGCTGGCTTGGCTCAGATGTGCCAGTGGAAAACCACCCGTACCGTGCTTGCCTCAAGTTGGCTTGGCTCAGATGTGTCAGTGGAAAACCACCCGTACCGTCGTGGCCTCGAGCTGGCGCGGCTCAGATGTGCCAGTGTAAAACCACCCGTACCGTGCTGGCCTCATGTTGGCTCGGCTCAGATGTGCCAGTGAAAAACCACCCGAAACTCGGTCGGAACGGGCAACTGGACATACGACGGACAGGTTTTGTTCGTATCTCTGAAAGTTCCTAAGTCGAATGTTCGTAAGTACAAGGAGTATCTGTATCTTCAGCGTGGCCTATTACCTTGCGAACGCACCGCCCCCAAGCGATGACGAATCACCCGTTGACTTCAACGATTCGTCGTTTCGCACAGGTACCCTGCGCGGCTAAATAAATAAACAATTCAGGCGACCGCATCTGACTCCGCGTCCCTTTGTGAACCTCCAACCCCGGCCGCCGACGGCACCGCACGCTGCACATGATCATCAGCATCGGCAGCCATGGTCTATTCATCGCTGGATGGAGGTCTCCCCATCTGTCATCATCATCAGCAGCCATGGTCTGTTCACTGCTGGATGAAGGCCTCACCATCTGTCATCATCAGCAACCATGGTCTGTTCACTGCTGGATGAAGGCTTTCCCTGTCATTCTCATCAGCAGCCATGGTCTGTTCACTGCTGGATGAAGGCCTTCCCCATCTGTCATCCTCATCAGCAGCCATGGTCTGTTCACTGCTGGATGAAGGCCTGCACACTGTGCTAGGTCTGGTCGTAGCTGGGTGGGTCGGGGCAGGGTGTAGTAGCAGGGGTAGTGGCAGTGGTTGAGGTAGTGGTGGGGGTAGTGGTGGGGGTAGTAATAGGGTTGGGGTAGTGATGGGGGTTAGGTAGTGATAGTGGTTGGGGTAGTGGTAGTGATGGGGGTTAGGTAGTGATAGTGGTAGGGTTGTGGTAGTGGTTGGGGTAGTGATGGGGGTAGTGATGTGGGTTAGGTAGTGATAGTGGTAGGGGTAGTGGTAGGGTTGTGGTAGTGGTTGGGGTAGTGATGGGGGTAGTGATGGGGGTAGTGGTAGTGATAGTGGTAGGGTTGTGGTAGTGGTTGGGGTAGTGATGGGGGTAGTGATGTGGGTTAGGTAGTGATAGTGGTTGGGGTAGTGATGGGGGTAGTGGTAGTGATAGTGGTAGGGTTGTGGTAGTGGGTTGGGGTAGTGATGGGGGTAGTGATGGGGGTAGGTAGTGGTAGTGGTAGGTTTGG